AGGGCAATAAATTTGCCCCTCAGGACTGCTTTTGCTGTGTCCCACAAGTTTCTTTGTGAGGTGTTTTCCTTTTCATTGAGTTGTAGGAAATGCTTTATTTCTTCTCTGATCTCTTCCATTACCCAGGCATTGTTAAGGAGTGTGCTGTTCAATTTCCATGTATTTCTTTCTTCCAGTTTTTAAAACTATGTTCATTATTTGCCTTTGAATTCTCAACCGTGTTAGTATATACCAGTAGTCTGCTTATAATGATTTTAGTAGTCTCTAAAACAGTCCAGTTTTCTATTACATTTCTCTTACTTCTGAGTCTTTGTGAATATCCATATTTCTACTCACTGTTAGTCCTGCTACTGACTCTTATTATTTAATGAGTTAATAGAAAGCACATGTCTATCATCATAAATTTATGTTTTGGTATACAGGTGACTATTTCAATATAACTAGTTGACTTTGCAATTGTTTGTATGTCATTTTAGTTTAAAATGTTTTTTTCAAAAGGAAGTTCTTAGATAAGGCTGGGAAGATGGTTTAGTGGTAGAGTGCTTGCCTTGTATGCATGAGGCCCTGGGTTCGAGTCCTCAGCCCCACATAAGCAGAAAAAGCTGGAAGTGGCACTGTGGCTAAAGTGGTAGAGCACTAGCCTTGAGCTAAAGAGCTCAGGGACAGTGCCCAGGCCCAGAGTTCAGGCCCCACAACTGACAAAAAAAAGAAAGAAAGAAAGTTCTTAGAGGCCACCATAAAAAAAAAAATTCAAAATGCTAGTGTTAAGTGAACAATAAATAGCTTTCTGATTTAAACCACTGCAGTCAAGTTTTTGTTAATTCACTAAATGATGCCCAATTTCCTACCTCCCATATCAGTGTTGATACAAACTTTTTTTTTTTTTTTTGGGTCTGGTCATGGGGCCTGAACTCTGGGCCTGGGTGCTGTCCCTCAGCTTTCAGCTCAAAGCTAGCGCTCTACCACTTGAGCCACAGCGCCACTTCTGGCTTTTTTCTTTTTTGCTTATGTGGTGCTGAGGAATTGAACCCAGGGCCTTGAGCATACAAGGCAAGCGCTCTACCACTGAGCCACCTTCCCAGCCCCTCGATACAAACTTTTTATGTAGCTTTCTAGACATAGAGTTGGTATTCTATGTTAGTCAACTTTCTGTTGTTATGACAGAATATATAACAGACTGGGTGATTTATAAAGAATACTAGTTTATTTTGGCTTATAGGGTCAGAGGCTAGAAGGTCTATGACGATGATGTCAGCATCTGTTCAGCTCTCAGGTTTCAGAAGTTTCACTGCATGGTCAGCTGATCTATTGCTTTTAGATCTAGGCAAGGCAGAAACATCATAGAGGAAGAACAAAGTACAGGAAACCTACTTGCTTCTTGGTGGCTAGGAAACAAGAGAGGTGTTTTTCAACTAGAGAATAAGCTACATGAGGGAAGGGATGGTGTCTTTTTCTCAGTGTTTTATTCCCATTGGTATAGTGTCTGGCATGAGATGTTTTTCAACTAGCGTGTAAGCTGCATAAGCAGGGATGATGCCTTTTTTATTTCCAATGCATGATATAGAACCTGACACATCTAGACTTTCAGACAATATTTAATGCTTTATAAATTGATGCAACAGAGAACTTCATCTGTTATAAATTATTATATTTTGGTTTTTGAGTGAAGAGAAAAGGCTTCATTTAAAAAAGACTTCATAAGTCTTTTTTTTTTTTTTTTTTGGCCAGTCCTGGGGCTTGAACTCAGGGCCTGGACCCTGTCCCTGAGCTTCTTTTGCTCAAGGCTAGCGCTCTACCACTTGAGCCACAGCCCAACTTCTGGCTTTTTCTGTTTATGTGGTACTGAGGAATTGAACCCAGGGCTTCATGCATGCTGAGCAAGCACTCTACCACTGTCATATTCCCAGCCCTTCTTAAGACTTTCTTACAAAACTTATTTTGGGCTGAGAATGATAGCTCAAGCCTCTAATCCTAGCTACTTGGCTGATCCAGGCAAAAATGTTCTCAAGACTCAACCATGGCTGGGTGCCTGTCATTCCAGCAAAATGGAGAAGCACAAATAGGAGGATTGGTCCAGGATGGCCCAGATAGAGAGCAAACCCTATCACAAAAATAACCCATGCAAAAAGGGCTAGTACAGTAGCTCAGGTGGTAGAGAGCCTGCCTAGCAAGCATGGGGCTCAAAGTTTAAACCCCAGTGCTCCCATAAATATATTTTGGGGGGATAACTAGTTATAAAAATATACTCATTCAAGTAGAAACAAAGAAAAGCTTAAAATAATTATCAACTTTATTCTCCCCAGGTGAAGAGCACCTCTCAACATTTTTCTAAATACTCAACTAGCCTTTTATCTAGATGTATTCATATATATAATCTATCACGTTACATATTACATATATTATAAATTATTTTACTGTTTTACTTTTGTCAGTCATGGGGCTTGAACTCAGGGCCTGGGCGCTGTCTCTGAGTGAATTCAAGGCTGGTTCTCTACCACTTTGAGCCACAGTGCCACTTCCAGTTTTCTGGTAGTTAATTGGAGATAAAAGTCTCACAGGGCTGGACGCCAATGGCTCATACCTGTAATCCCAGTTACTCAGGAGGCTGAGATCTCAGGATTGCAGTTCATAGCCAGCCCAGGCAGGAAAGTCCCTGAGACTCTTTATCTCCAATAAACCACCAGAAAACCAAAGTGGCGCTGTGGCTCAAGTGGTAGAGTGCTTAGCCTTAAGTTGAAGAGCTCAGGGACAGCATTCAGGCCCAGAGTTGAAGCCCTATGACTGACCCAAAAAAAAAAAAAGTCTGACAGGATTTTCCTGTCCAGTCTGGCTTTGAACCACAATCCTCAGATTTCAGCTGCCTGAAGTAGCTAGGATTATATGTGTGAGCCACTGGTGCCCTACTGTTTTACTCTGTTAGAGTGAGGTGGGGTTTTTTTGTTTTGTTTTTTGTTTTTTGCTCATCTTGGTGCTTGAACTCAAGACCTGGGTGCTGTCCTAAGCTTCTGCTCAAGGCTAGCACTCTGCCACTTAAGTTACAGCTCCACTTCTAGCCTTTTCTGAGTATTTTATTGGAGATGAGAGTCTAATGGACTTTCCTACCCAGGCTGGCTTCTAACTGTGATCCTCAGATCTCAGCCTACTGAGTTGCTAGGATTACAGACATGAGCCACAAGTGCCTGGCTGAGGTCATTTTGTTTATACTGTTTCAGAACTTATTTTTTTATTTAACATACCATGAATTATTTTCTATTTTAAAATTTAATTTTAGCATTAAAATTACTTTCAGTATTTTTATATTTAAATATCCACTTTAAGTAGTAATTCCATTTTAGAAAGTATTTATTTGAACCATGTTAGTCTGAAGTAACATAGGGAACCCAATCACATATTTGTGACTTAGTGATTTTCCCCCAAGGCTTTTACAAACATCCTTAACTGTGTGTCAGGAAAACTTTTTCTGTATTTCAGGAGATTCAAAGAATATTTTGTGTGTAATGCTGCATTAGTGAATTGAATTAACTGAATGTAACTTCTTCTCTCCTTTCCCTAGTAAATAGCGGGGGCAAGATAGCCCTGAGTGAAGAGTTTGCACAGGTGTATTCCCTGGCAGATGGGATTCGAATATGGATGGTAAGATTTTCCTTCTCATGTGATTTTCATATAATTTAGGTTTTCCCACTATGATGTTAGAATTAAGGTAAGAAACTTTTTTCCCAAGAGTATTATTTTATGATTTTTTTTTTTCCATTCCTGATGCTTGAACTCAGGGCCTGGGCATTGTCCCTGAGCTTCTTTTGCTCAAGGGTAGCACTCTACCGCTTTAGCCACAGCACCATTTCCAGCTTTTTCTGTTTAGGTGGTACTGATGAATCGAACCCAGGGCTTTGTGCATGCTAGGCAAGCACTCTACCACTAAGCCACATTCCCAGCCATACAAATTTTTAAAAAAACTGAATTTCAGTGTAATGAGTAGGCGTAAAGTAATTTAGAACCCTTGAAATCATAAATTAGTGAGTGTTAAAAATGTTCAGAGTAAACATTAAAGGGGTTTAATTAAACCCCTTTCATTTCTTTCAATAAACCCAAAGTAATACCACTGTGGGCAATTCCTCATACATGGAAGGAAAGAATTACCTTAGATACTGGCAGCCATTGATAGTTTCAGTAAGGTAAAAGATCTGTGACATATTTGAAAAATAACTGCAGCATTCGTTGTGACAGTGCAACCTGGAAGAACTAAATGTCTATTGGTAGGGAAAAGAAAAGAATTGTAGCCTGGTGCCGGTGGCTCACGCCTGTAATCCTAGCTACTCAGGAGGCTGATATCTGAGGATTGTGGTTCAAAGCCAGCCCAGGCAGGAAAGTCTGTGAAACTTTTATCTCCAATAAACCACCAGAAAACTGGAAGTGGCCTGTAGCTCAAGTGGTAGAGCACTCGCCTTGAGCTGAAGAGCTGAGGGACAGTGCTCAGGCCTAGAGTTCAAGCCCCATGACCAACAAAAAAAAAAAAGTAAAGGAATTGTATATTAATATATGATATGAGTAATAATTACATTACAACAAAAGTGAAAGAAATAAAGCCACATGTATCAGCAATGTCATCTTTCAATAGATTTGATAAAAGAAAAAAGGAAAAGTGTAAAATGCTTAAGTATGATAATTCTTATATGTTTTAATACAAGCCATATTTTCATGTTATATATAAATCTGTGATATAATTATACAAATACATAAAAATGCTGAACATTGCTGAATTGTTTTTGATTCTTAGGTATGAAAGTAATCAAACATTAGTAATATTCTTTATATCATTTACATCTTTTTTTTTTGCCAGTATGGGATTTGAACTCACATGGTATATATTTGTATGCATCTTTAACCCTGGATAGTAATTGAGAAAAAAAAAATGTAAGCAAATGGGTAGAGAATGGATAACAAAATTGAAAACAAAAGCTAGGTGGGCACCAGTGGTTCATGTCTGTGATCCTAGCTATTCAGGAGGTTGAGATCCAAGGATTGGGGTTCAAAGCCAGTTCTAGACAGACATATTGGGGAGATCTTTGTCTCCATTTAATCAGCAAAAAGCCAGAAGTAGAGGTGTGGCTCAAATGATAAAGTGCCAGCCTTGAGCAAAACCTTTTGAGAGGCTCAGTACTGACAGAAAAGAAAAAAAAAAAGAAATTGAAAACAAAAGACTTAATTATAGTAACTAAAAAAGAATAGCTTTTGCAACTGAGATGAAATAATCATAGGGCTTTGTGAAGGATTTGAGTAGTGAATAGGAAAGAGGAATTTAGGATAGTTCAATTTTTGATGGATTACTTGGTAGGAAGGAGAAATATTGATCAGGATAGGAAAGAATTAGGAAAGAAATTCAGCTTTGGACCTGTTATCTGAGACATCTAGCTAGAGAACTTGGTGGATAATCTAAGTGACTGATGTGTCAGAGACATGTGAAGACAGAGGGTAACTTTAAACTATTTTAATAGTTATTTTTATTAAAAGTATGAGTTTACAAACACACAGCCTTGGTCTGACTAGACCATGGTTAGTGCCCAAATTATACTGGATAGTTAGAAACTAAAGTAAACAAAATCTCTTAGGAGAAATTAAAAGACATCATCATCAGATGGTAGGAGGAGAATCAGTGATGAGTTAATTCAGTGGTAGAGTACTCACCATAAAAAATGGTAGAACAAGAATCAAAAAAGTATGCTAACAGAGAAACCATGTGGTAAGATTTGAAAGAAAAGAGTTTCTAAGAAACTCAGCCACAGAGTTTAGGTGAAAACATTTTGGCTATTGACAAGGCATGCTACAGATAATGCTCTGGTGAGCCTAGAATAGACTGCCAACACACAAGATACTGGCTTTCTGTTTGAGACCTTGGCCTCTCTTGTGTATTCTGCCTGGCTGTCAGCATTGTGGCCCATGCTGTGATCATTGCCTCAATCTGTTCTCATAGTACCCTTCTCTGCCTGAAGTCTCAGCCTCACCTAGAGGTGTCTCATCAGAGTAGAACAGAGTTCAAAATTTAAGAACAAGCTGGGTGCCAGTGGCTCATACCTGTAATCCTGCACTCAGAAAGCTGAAATCTGAGAATCATGATTTGAAACCAGTCCAGGCCAAAAAAAAAGTTGATGAGACTCTTACCTTCAGCTAACCTCCAAACATCCAGGAGTAGAGCTGTAGCTCAAATGATAGAGCACTAGCCTTGAATAAAAAAGCTAAGGGACAGCACCCAAACCTTAATTTCAAGCCCCAGAACTCCACACATAGACAAAAAAATTACAACAATTTTTGAAGCAAACTAGATATATATATGGCTGTAGTAAGGCCTCCATTTCTCTAGACCTCAGCTGCTTTGTCTGTACTGGTAGGATTTAGAGAAAGTCTCCTTCAGCACCAGTATTTTAAGTTTTGTAAAATAATAAAGTCATGTATATAAATTCCTTCCACATGTAGTAGAGGAGATAGTTTTGTAGATAGGTCTTCAAAAGTAGTTTTGTAGACAGCTTCAAAGGATGAAGAAAACAAGTTTAGCCCACATCCTAAGCAGCTGGGCAATAGTCAGGAAGTTTTCTATAATTTCAACACTGTGTGTTTTTGCAGTAGCTTTCTGTGCTACCCTGCTGCTCTATCAGGACAGTTTAATTACGTGGTTCAAATCTTCTCGCTCCCCAGTTAGAGATGAAGCAAAAGTCCCTGATGAGCCTAGGGAATGAGGCTGAAGAAAAACTCAGTTCAGAAGCTGTAGAGGCGAACCCAGAGAGCCTAGGTGAGTATGCCAATACCAGCCGTGGTTACTGGTCCATCAAGTGTTTTGTTTTTGTTTTGTCCAGAACTGAAAGAACTTATGCCTGCCTTCTTGGTAATTCTTGTTGAGTCTGTGTTGACATAGGAAAAGTGATAAAGAAAGATGCTTAAGGTTGTTTTCAAAGATATGTCCAAAATGGAGAAAATGCCAAAAAGAACTAATTATTTACTAACATGCTCCAAGTGGAACATCTAATTGCTTCTTTTTTTTTTTTTTTTTT